GTCTCGTGCTTTCTTGCTTTGTGGTAATCTTTATTCTGTATTCACTGAGATATTTGAATGCTAATCAATAAATCAATAAAAACATGTTTACATGCGAGTTTCTTTGGTTTGCTTTTGCAGATTATAGGACTTAAACAGTGTATTACTGATCACAGTTGCTAACTACAGGCAAATTGTTATGTTGATATACCAATAAACTATTCAGTTATTAGTTGTCTCTTCTGTTACACCAACTCTCTGCATCTCCAGCATCCATGAATCTTCTCTGTGCTCTTTTTCTTTCTTTTTTTGCCTGTAAGCTTCATATTCAACATCCTTTGTCCAGTATATCCACTATCCTCCTCTGCACATCTCCAAACCATCTAAGCCATGCCCCTCTAACTATGCCTCCAAAATGCTCAACCCAAGCTGTTCCTCTGGTATACTCTTTTCTAACCTTGTCCTTCCTGGTCACGTGCGATGAAAATTGAAATTGAACATTGAACTGCTTAAGCAAGTTCACAGTACCATTTCAATTCAGTTTAGTTCAGGTTTATTTAAATTGCGCTGAATCACAACAGCAGTCACCTCAAGGCGCTTTTTACGATTAGGTAAAGACCCCACAACAATCCAACAACCTCCTGAGAGCAAGCACTTCACAAAGCTAGCATTTAACAGGAAAAAACCTAAAGCAGAACCAGGCTCAGAGGTTCTGCTGGAACCACGTGTTTAACAACAGATATTGTCTTACTTTTAAGAAATAGTATTTGGAAGGAGTGACTTGACTCTGAAAACACTAAAATCTTATATCCACTGCTGCGCTGAAACAGATAATCTCTGTGGCAGGCAATGCATGATGACGTTACCTCAGAACTTTGACCTGATTATATCTGTGTTCTTCTGTTGCAATTGGGATATCTTATCACTAAAGTTTTATCTTCTTTGAATCAGTGCATTGGATTGACTCTATATAGATTACAAAGAGACAGATAAAACAAGGATGCTGCGTGTTACAAAAATAAGTACAGTTAAATAAAAAAAATTTTGAGAAAAGAATTGGATTCATTTGCAAAACAAAGAAGTTGGTAATATTGACAGGATCTCATATAACTTGTAAATTATAATTTTATATATCTTTACCGAGGTTTTAGAACTTTTGCTGTTGATAAAAAATGTTTTCAAGCAAATCAGTTTATCTCAGCGACCATCACAGATTTCATATCTTTTCACAAAGGTTTCTTGTTTACTTTGCGGTGTAACTGATGTTTCTTCAAATGTCAAGGACTTAGAGCGCATGAGTACATAATGTGATTTTAACCTTGTGTACTGATACCAAAACTGATCATTTTTCTCTTTTTAAAAGCACATGACAAAGTGTGCTCAGTTTCTCTGCTGGGAAATACAGCAGACAAACTACACAATGGAATTAGTTTTCAGCGTCGCACTTTAAATGTTTACGTGCAAAAATAAAGCTTGGGAACTGACATTTTTCTTCCAAATGCTTGATTAGGAAATGATCTAAACATTTGCTTATAAAACACCTTTCCAGCTCCACAGCTCTCTAATGAACTCACAGTCGTGTGGTCATGCAGGTTTGCATAACCTTGATTACTGATTTAAAGCTTTTTTTTTTTGTTGCTCTGTGTTATTTTGGAGTTTGTGGCCATTTGAATGATCTGTTGGTTCTGTAACAAGTGGAGAAACACAGAAGACTTGCCTGCTTTATTAAAGTCAGGAAGATGGTTTTATTTGGCTAAATAATGAAATCATAATGATTAAATGTTTCATGAACATTTGAGCATTTACAAGTCTAATCTGTGCACAGTAAACTTGATTGTGTAAAAGTAGAAAATTAAGAAATGCCAGGGGAGAAACTGACTTGATTTCTCTCAAATAAGTCATTGTTTACCTCACATTATAAGTAACTTTCCATTAGTTATCAGTGCAGAATTTAATAGGCGTGCGTTACAGTGTTTCTTCAACTGTTGCTGGGATCCAGGTATCCACAACATGACACAACACACCTGTACACACCTAAACCAGATTCACACCTGTGTTTTCTTCTTTGCTAAGGTAAGTGTCACTCAGAGTCATTTTCTTTTGGATCACACTGCCAACTACGGTTAAAATGGTTAAAAATTATCTTGAAGAGAACAGCATATTAAAATTGCAAATTGGGTGACTGTTAGTGATAGAAAAGTTTATCTGTAATTAAGAATAAACTCATCTCCACAGGTTCAAATAAAGCAATAGAAAGTTTTATTTTAGCAAGCTTCCCCCCCATGGTCACTTGCACGTGTCCTCGCAGGGTTTACAGAAGAATAGAACACCTGATGTAACACCCACCAAACCTGTTAAGGTTACTGCACCTCTCATTCTCTCCTTCACAGGCCAGGGCAAGTTTTAATTACTAACTAACGTAGCTTTCAGTTAAGCAAAGTTGCCAAGCCAGACAAGAAGACTATGCATTGCTAATTGTTTTGTTCCTTAGGTGTAGCTTGCTAGATCTGAATACTGAGTCTGTTTTGGCATAACACTTGAAAAGGCCCTGAATAATTAACAAGACTGGCTTAACTTGATGTTAGTATATTCTCGTGACGCCTGGTTGCTTTATGTTTGGCGTCACTCTTCATTAATAAACATGTTGGTTTCTTACTTCTTTCCTCATTGTGCAGTGTTTTTTTTAACCTGAATAGGCATTTTGTGCAATTACAAACCATGCGATAAACATCAATAAGGATGAAAGAAGTTGTTGCTGTATTGATGTGGGAACTGACCATACATGGTTTTTCCATATCTACAGAAGATTAGATGTTCTGGTTCATTGGGACTCAGTGATCCATTCTGCTGCGGCCAAATCTTACAGAAAGCATATGGTTGTGTAAGTGTCTGAGCATCTTTGGTTAACTTGGTCTTTGAGCTACGAAAAAGACACAAACAGAGCAGCCGACTCAGAATCAGGCTTTTGAGTTACTGTGCGCATGTGTGTGTGTCTGAAAAAGTGGGGTTGTGTCTCTCCTTCAGTTCAGCTAATCCAGATCAGAGAGTTTGCATATAGATCTTTTTAACCACAACAGCTGCTGGATAATCTATAAACACCACGTGTGACATCCCCATGTGTAGTTTGCTTCTGGCATAATGTACAGCCTCAGTAAAATGATGAAAAGCAGCTTTTTGTTGATGCTAAATACAGTAACTAAAATAAAATGCAGTTGAATACCAATGACATTATAACACTTTATCACCGTGACTCACTATGGTTTGTACAAAGAACAACATGTTCTGCATAGTAAAACACATCAGATTTGTTGTAGTTCACAGCTATTTGCTGTTATTTTTTCTCCCATAATGGAGGATTTCAGCCTCTTAGGTTGCTTTTTGCTGGACATGGGACAAGCAACCAGAGCTTCCAACTCCTTCTCCAACATGTGGGGAGGACAGGTTGTACAGGAAATGAGCTCATTGCTCAATGTCAGAACACCTCTGAGAAAGGAAACAAATGTTATGATGTTATGATAAATTGTGTGAGTCATTGTCACAGTAATGTAGTCCAAGTGCATAAGGAAGAAAATATGCCGTTAAACTGGTTAGGCTAAACAACTAACAAGCTGGCAGTCAGACGCCAAGAGGTCTTCCTGGAGCCGGGTCTCATTAATGGTGTTCCTGACCGGTTTGCAAACATTTTCTGGTCATCTTTAAGTCAGACAGTTTGGCATCCATACTCTTCTGAACTATTTTTGTAAACATAACCAGTAATATTCTCACGGGATGAGAAGGCCTCATCAAAGAAAGGAAGAATTACTCACTGTTGGTTGTTTGTTTCAGAGAGCTCAACTTAGCAGCATCACAACAGCAGATGGCTGTCAGGTAAAAAGGATTAGACCAACCATCAGGTTACACTTTCACTCTTCTAATCTCCATTAAATGCACACATATGCCGATGTGCCACAACATTAAAACCACCTGCCTAAAACGGTGGGTTCGGATGTCCCCTTGTGTCCAGTGCTGAGATACTGAGAGCAGCCCTGCTTCTTCCTGTGGTCCCCTAAGGATATTCCTTGTTTAATTACACACCAATGATTTTTTTTATGTGATTAGGATCTGCAGAGCTTTGGTGCTGCCTCGTTTTGTAGTTTTGTCTGGCTGAAGAAGGCCAATTCTGCCATGGAGCTTGTTTTAATATTGTGGCTGATAGGTATGCATTTGTAGATACACAACCAACACGTGCACACTGAAATGATCATACTACCTAACCAGCAAGTGCAGATTGCCTACAAAAGTAGGTGAGGAGGATTACAGAGGGACAGCGCTGTAGGTCGGTCATGGTGCTCTGGTCAGTAGTCTAATCCAATTACTCGTGAGAAGCTAAAAGTAATGGGATTGCTAGTAAGGTCACCGTACAGACCTGCTTAACCGTGACTGTGCACTTGACATTCAGCTTTGGGCAAATTCTGCTGGGATATTTTACAGTTGCAGATACATGATGAAGCCATCCTGCTGGTTCCATAAAGAGGCTGTGGGAGAATCCAGCCTTGATGATTTAGATATAAAAGAGCAGAAGAAGAGTCCAGGACTGGACAAGCTGTTTGGCCATCTGATGGGATCAAAGGTCTCAAGGAGGCGTGAGAAAGTTAAGAAAACTGAATGATTAATAAGTGTAAGCTACTAATAAATCAGATCCTTAAGGTCATTTATGAATATACATCATATTTTATATTTTTATATTGGAAAAAACCAATACATCCACATAAAAACAATGGACGTGAGAACATTCATGTCTTTAGGCTACTGTAACACTGATATGATCAAGAAAGAGTAATTTAAGGTTCATTTAAATGTAAATGTGCAGATTAAGTCGAGATTAAATGTCTTGTTGTCCCTAATAAAGTTCTGCCTGTACCTGAGAAAACAGCCACCCCGATGACAAAGACGTGTCTGTGCTTATTATGTTGATGGGGAAGACAGGGCCTGGATAAAAACTTTCCTGGAAGAACTGCAGCAGACTTAAAACACAGAAAACCTCATTTTTCCAAAGAGTAGTTTATCAAAAGAATACACAGTAATGCTCATGTATAAAAACATAGAAAACAGGAGAATCAAAAACAATAATAAAATATACTTTCTGTTCTCATCTACTATTTGTTCTTTTTGTTAAAAGTAATAAACCTTAAGTCCTCTCTGTTTTTGCACGTTCATGAGTTTCCACGGCGCGCGCCATCCTCGCCTGCTCACTCTGTCCTCTTCGTGCCAACTGCATCTAACATCTGTATCACAACCGAGCCAATAGAAACAGGCTAAAAATCACGCTACGACAGGACTGCTAAGTCGACACCACGGGGGCTGTTTGCTGCTCTTATCGAGTTGCGCTACAACGCAAGATGAAGATGTCCACTCACAGCGAACGTGTCTCTCAGTGTGGCTTCATTAAGGCAGGTACAGCACATTAATCTCACTAATGGAGGTTTCGCTCACTTTGCTGTCACGTGAAGGTCACGGAGCCGGACGGCCGATGTGAGCTGCTTGTTTAAACAGCCGTGGTGTCACGATGGCTTCAACCACCAAGCCTCATTAACCTGCATAGTCACACTTGTCAGGTCACGGGTGCAGGATTACTGCTTTGATGATACAAGGAACAGCAGCAACTACACCCTCTGCTGCTACTTGTACAAAACAGGTGGTGCATTTAGTCTTTTGAAGAGTTTTTTTCCCTGAACCTCACTGTGTTGTGAAACAGAAACAGATGCAGCTTGTGCGCGCATTTGTGTATTCCTACTTTTCATTTATTCATCTTTTTGATTAATTTCCTACCTTATTTACACCACCAATCGGAACTTTTCTGCATTTCTGCCGTGCATGATAACACATCTCTTAAATCTCAGAATCTCTCTCGCAGGGTTAAAAGGTCAGACAACAAACAATGGTGACACAAGTGATCACTTTTCCCAAAGCATCAATAGATTTCTCTGAAGGGTGGGGTCCAAACTGTGTCCTGGGTTTATTTGAGTCTCTTTAAATAGCAATCAAGAGTTGTGTATTTATTTATTATTTAATTATATATTTATTTTTTTATCTCACACCAGTCACATCTCCTCTCACAGATCATCCTCAGTATCATTCATTGTCCATCAGCTTTGCTTGTTTCCTTTATGATTGTGATCAGGACGACAGCAGAAAGCGATGACAGAGGGTGGGGGGAAATAAAAATCCGAGGTTTCTTTTGCCCTACCTTTCCATCCATTGATGTGTTATCTACTTCCAAAAAATATGCTGCACAGGTGCTATGCAGTTTTTATTTATTTATTTATTGCTTTTTGCTTGGCTTGATGTGAAATGGTGGGAGATGAGGACATTTGTCAGAAATCTGATTTTTGTGCGTCTAATCCTGAACAAAACTCTCGAAACATCACCGTCCCGTCACCTCCGGCGCCCTTAGTCGTCACCGCCGCCTCCTCCAAATCCTGAAGTGCGCTATTTACACACAAACTGATCCACGAGCGTCGTGCAGCGTTTGCACTTGACGTAGCAGCACCAGTGGAACTTGCAGTGGCAGCGCTCGTGCTTGTAGGTCTTAAACTGGTCGTAACCTCTGCCGCAGCACATCAGCTCGCAGCCGTCCATGCCCTCCGAGGTTTTGTTGCACAGTCGGCCCTGGGTGCCCAGCGATCCTGTGGTCTCATTGCGGAGGCAATAATCCGGGCTGGGGTCGATGTAGACCATGTCCTGAGTGGTGGGTGGGTTGAAGCGCTTGTCTAGAAGCTCCAGCTTTCCCTGGTGGATCAAGGACAGAATTAGCAGAGGCAATACTTCAAATGGCTCCTGAGGGAGGAGACAGAGACATGAATGGATTTAGTACCTTGCGTCCAACCCGCATGGCTGCTGCGCTGTCGTATTTCTCTTTCAGGAACTCTCCAACATGTCTGAAGTCGGCCAGCTGGAGCCAACAGGTCTTCAAACTGCAGGAACCCGAAACTCCATGACACTTACAGGCCACATTAGCCAGGTTGTAAACCGCCTGTTGGAGTAATAGAAAAAAGATATAAATGTTAAATAATCAAAATGTATACAGAGATCAAAACCCCCCAAAACTCCACATTAGTTTTTACACAATAAATTTTCACTACTACTACACTACCACATGGGGGAAATTCACAAAGCACAGGAAGAAAAAGTGAATAAAGAGATATTAGTAAAAAGAAAAATAGTCTACATACTATACTACTAAAGGTTACTATATACAGTAAAATACACTAAGATAAGTGCAGTGGGAGGGATTACTATGCACAAGCTGAAGCAAAATAACCCATGTTTCTCTTTCCTCCTAATACCTGTCATTGTGATGCTTCAGTCTCACCTCCAGGTCAGCAGCTTTAGCTCCAGCTCTGTGGTGCAGATTTACAATCGATTTGCTGCTAAGCTGCTGCCATCTAGTGGTAAAAATCTGTAACTGCTCAGCTCTCATCATTACAGCGAGCACATAGTGAGAGGGGAACATAAAAAAGCATCATGGAGCTGCTACACTGTTGGAACGGCCAATTAAAAGACCCCAAAACATAAAGAAGAGATGAGTTGTGCAAACGTTGCTGCACAAACGTTGCTGCACACACACACACACACTGCAACATTTTCTCCAAAACTGGCTTTGTGGAGGCAAAATTATCTGTTTATTTAAGAAACCTCTGTTAGGTGGGCTATACAATGAACGCAGAGTGAAACAGATAAACAGGAGGGAAAATGGAAAGCAAAGAAAATGATTTTTTTCTCCATATGTGCTGTTCTTCGACGCTGCTGTCAACATGACCCCACCAAAGTAAAACAAACAGCTGACTTGGAATAAAAGGCCCGCTAACTGGAGGAAATGTTCCTCTATTGTAAGTAGTCTTTCCCACATAGTTCCCATATAAAAAACTATCCCTTGAAAATAATTGGAACATGACAATTATTGATTTAAACACATGAACAAGCTTTTTTTTCCTCCTTAAGATAAAACAGCTCCTACTTTACAGCGTTTGGCCTTGTTAGAAAAACAGGAACAGGAAATCTAAGATTTATTGTCCTCACAGCAGTGGGCTTTAGGGGGAGCCCTTCACCCCTGCAGCTTTACCAGGTCAATTAAACTGCAATATAAACAAACCAAACAACCCACACCCACACCCCAAGCATAGACACACAAACAAGTACAAATTGTTCTTGGTATTGTGCAAGCACCTACAACCACTTAAACAAACTCCAGCGCATCTCCACGCAATTCTTGCCGAATCGAGTTCTTCTGACTCCCGATTTCCCCCGATTCACCCTCAGACAAACGAAACCCATCACTCTGTCTCCTCACACTGCCTGATCTCAATTACCTTCTCACCTCTGTTAACCCCGGCGTCCCAAACAGCCTCCCCAGCGACCCCCACCTTCCACCCCTGTTCCCTCTCCTCTACTTTACTGCCCAGCAGGCATAGCACTCGGCACCCTCCAATCCCATGAACCGACCTCAGTGACCCCCCGTCAGTCGGGGAACAGGGGACAGTGTCATTTTGTGGAAGGGTAAAATGATTTTTGGTGATTCTCTCTTTGATACGTTCTTAAGTTTAACTTAAACTGAAAGAACAGAAGAAATAGAAAGGCCATATAATACAACCTTTCAGAAATGTGTTGTAGCTTCAGAAGAATGGGACTCTGAGAATTAAGAAAAACTTTCAGATATAAGTTTAAAGGAGGAAATTCTCATGTTTTATGACTCCTTGCCAATTTTACGAGCCTTTGTTTTCACTGAGACTCCCGACTGTGTGGTTTATGACATGTTTACAGCGACAGTAACATTTCACGTAACAAGGATGGGGAGGCCATTACTATGTTTTTCTGTGCTAATCTTCCCAATTAACATTTCTTCACAGCCAGTGCTTAATTTTGTGACTTTGTTTCATTTCCTTCATTACTCTGAACATCATTGTTTGATGTATAGAGCTTTTCATTACATACTACTACCTGCCAATAGCCTCATGTTGCTCAAACCAAACCATGCATGTGTGTGTCCAGCATCACACTGAGCTATTTGGTAGGTCATGCCTGCTAGGCACAGTGACACTGGACCTGATGAACACACACACACACACACACACACACACACACACACACACACACACACACACACACACACACACACACACACACACACACACACACACACACACACACACACACACACACACACGCTCAGTGATCCGTGGTGGAGACACAGTCTCTGTGTCAGGCACAATAGGTTTTTACTCAGACAGGGTTAGGGGTTTAGGAGCTGTGTCTGTGTGTGTGTGTGTGTGTGGTGTGTGTGTGTATCCCCCCCCCCTTTAACAAAAGGACCCGGGGGCTGACATAGTGATTGAAAATGATCTTGTGTGTTCAGAGCAGAGGCATCTCAAAAAAGGCCGGGAATGTATGTCTGGCTGTTTTTTGGGTCTGTGTAACGAGCGCTGCCTCATTTGATTTATGTGGAGACAGTGGAAGTTAGTAGCTCTCTGCGTGTGTATTTGTGTGTGTGTGTCTGTGTGTGTGTAAGTGTGCGAAAGTCTTTGAGAGTCGCAGAAGTGTGACGGAGGTCCATCCCTCACCCTGTGTCTCTGTCTCCAGACGTTTGTGCACACGGACGACCACGTTGTCCACCGCTCACACAAATCAAATGAGGCTGCAAACACACACACACACACACACACACACATGGACACACACACACACACACGGACACCGCTGTCACCTCCACAAAAGCCCTGTGGTTTGCCTTGTTCAACCAAGCAAGACAAATCCTGCTTAGGACAAACCAGCGTGTCCACGATAGAAAGACAGAAAGCAGGGTGGGGCCGGGGGGATAGAGAGAAGGAGAGAAACTGTCTTCCTGTCTGTGGCTCTCCTCCTTTTCATCTCTCCCTTTGCCTCTCTTCCGTTTCGATGGACAGACAACAATGAAAGCAAAGGATCAAACGGGAGACAGGAGGAAAAGTCATTCAAAAAAAGCATGCGTATGTCACTGAACTGTGCGTGTGAAAGGTTGCTGCAGCAGTAGATCTTTCCCTCATATACTCTCGTAGAGCCCCAAAGGGACTCTCAGCAGAAACACAACCTCTCCAGACCCTCACCTTTGACCTCTGACGCACACATGCACAAAACTAGGCTCACCGTCTCATACACAAATCAAATGAAGCTGAGGTGAGCACACACACACACAGGCAGCGTCTCTGTCTTGTAAACAGCTTAAACAAAGCTTCTCTAAGTGAAGATAAACGTGTTCTCCTGTTCCAGGGAACACCAGAATGGGCAAATGGAGAGTTTACGAGAAAGGTGTGTGTGTGTGTGTGTGTGCGTGTGTGTGTGTGTGTGTGAGAGAGAGAGAAAGGCAAGAGGTTTCTTTCTCTCCCTACCTGAGAACCTTCCAGATAACTTCAGTTACTAGACCATTTGTTGAATCACCATCATTGCCATTGTTCAGTAACTGGAGTGGAAAGGAAGCTTAATGACCATCATACCACCCCAGCTTTGAGTCTGTCTCTCTTGTTTTTAATGTCTTGTAAAATTTCCTTTAAAGCCCCTCTCAGTGTTGGATTTTTGTATGTCTGTGTATGTGCCTGTGTGTTACACCGGAGGAATGTGCTCTGACCTGTCAGCCCCGCCAGACTCCAAGGGCGTTACCAGTATACCATTTGGACCCTCCCAATAAATAACCCACATACACAGGCATATAAATACTGCCCGGTCAGGCAATCAGAGGCCCACTCAGCTTACACACATTCCTGACAGGGAAACATATGAAGAAGACAACAGTAACCTTGGGAAAGTTAACACAGCGATGGTTTTGTTGAGAGATAAAGCTTTTTTTCGTTGTCCCATACCTGTCTCCCTGCTTCATTATTATGCAAGTTCATCAGCATCCGGGCATGCTCGGGTGACCCTCGGGGGTAATTCTTCTCCCTCTCCCTGGCGTCGACAAACTCCCGAGCAAACCTGTAGCCGTAATGCACATTATCACCGCAGCCACCCCACAGCCAGTCACGCGGCAGGTCTCTGGGGCGAGCGGCGCGGCTGCAGCCGCAGGTGGAGAGCTCGCCCTCGCGGCACGCACGGCTGACGGCATTGACCACACCGGCTGCGCTGATGGCGTAGGTGAAGGCTGTTTCCCTGGAGCCTGATGGAGGAAGGAAAACAGGAGTTAAGCACGTGAATTCTGACACACAGTAAAGCTGCAGTTTTGCTGTCACATCACTGACAGGAAACACAGGTAGCTGCACAGCTAAATAACCCCTTCTCTCTCTCTCTCTCTCTCTCTCTCTCACGCACGCACACACACACACACACATACGCACACACAAACACACAGCTAACAGCCCCACACCCCACTTGAACTAACAATAGACAATAGAAGTGATTTGAGGCCCTGACCTCATACCTGGTTAACTCCACAACTTTAAATGCCAGATCATGCACGTGCAGCATTTGATGATGTAAACATATCGGTTTCTCCAGCATATCAGTTTTCCTCATGTGGTTGGCCTCTGGGTATATCTGTCCAAGTCCTGGCTACTCAACCATAACGTTAAAGAGTTACTTCTACCAGATTACAAATCATCATTGCAGCACTCATGCGATAAAAACTGAACTCGTGGAGCTCAGAGCCAAAAGGAAAGACATCTGAAACATTCCTTCCCACAGTTTTTTACTTTAAAGAAGAGAGATTAGTTGAAAAAATAAACAAATAAAGAACTTTCAGAAGAATTGTACTGCTGTATCCTCACCATTGTATGGGGCTAAAAGCAGAAATCTGAGTGATGGATATCCTAAAAGCAAATAAAACCGAACTGTCTGCATGACTCGATGGCTCCAGAGATAATCTGTTTGTGTAATTTGGGTGAACTGACCCTTAAAGGAGATAACATGTAGGAATAAGAAGAAAGGAGCTGGACAAAAATCCATGGAAGAAACTTCTGGGAATGTTTGTCACACTGTGCATTTACTGTAGATGGTCATCTCACAACAATTTACATAATTTCCAGCCAGAGTAATGCACTTTGAAGGAGTTTGCTTAAATGCGACTAGCTTCTAATAAACAACTGTATTTTTACAGTCTTGGTCGCTCTTTGAAGTGGCCTGGGTGCAATACATTTCACAGACTGGTCCATATTAATGATTTCCATTCACTAACACCAACGTGGAATACACAAGACAGCCTGCTTGTCCTATTCTCTGCATTAATACACACTTCAGCGCACAAAGAAGTGACAAGGACAAGGACAACGGCCTGACAGGTGGAGACTAAGTGCTCTGAAACACCATGATTTACATGAGAATAACAAGGAGCTTTGAAGTGCTTTTCCTGGTAGAGGCAGCATTCACTGAGATGATTAGCTTCAATATGAGTGTTTGAAAAGGGCAAAATATCTGTATTTAAAATATACCATATGCACATACAAACCATTTATTAGTATTTATGCCCTACTCTAATATACAGAACGCAAAACTTTCACTTTCCTTTTTTCTTCCTTATTTAAATAGCGCACAATGGTCTCTATATTAGACAATTTCTGTGGCCCCGAAACAACAGCAGCCAGTCAAGACAGGAAGGTATGCATGCAAATATCCGTTCATATTATGCAGCAGGATAAAGAAAGCCAGACAAGACAGGGAGATAGAGAGCGGGTGGTTTTATGAGACTGCGGAGCCTAGACTTCAAATAGCAGGTCCGGATCTGCCGGCTCGGTGTCAGCTCATCAGTGCATTTCAAAAGAAGAGCCGCAGGACAATGGACCGACTAACACCTCCATATAAACCTGGAGCTAGACTGTCAACAGAAAGACAGGCATGGAAGCAGAGTGAGAGAGCCCGCAGCGGATTTGGCACATACTTGTTGATGAGGCGATTCCCACATCGCCTGCTGGGAATTAGACGCGAAAGTTATCGATCCGAAAATCTGCGCTCCGGGTATCTGTTTATTAAAATACTGGAGATATGCATAAAGCGTACATGCCTTTCCTGTTTTATGCCTACTGAAGTCTTCCTTTGTGACTGCTTCTTTTCCCCGTCTTTTTGATCGAAGGACTACATTTTTCGTTTTAGTGCGCCTGCGTAAAGTATACCGGCTTTTTTCACGGTAATAGTTGGGTCGAAGTGAATATTTCAGATGTTGTCATATGTTGGATTTTTAATGAGGTTTTTCAGTCTGAATTTGAGTTCTGTTTCTCTTTATTTTATAATTTCTTGGGATTGTTAATGGTCGATTTCTTTAAATAGAACAGCATGCGCTTGGCATTATCATGCCTAAAATGCGGAAATAGGAACATTTTGAAGGACATTTATTTTACACACATATTATATTCTAATGACACCACTTTTTATAATGAGAAAAATTTGACATCTTAATATCACTAAAAATAATTTTACACTGTCCTTATATATATGTGTGTGTGTGTTTTATGTGTATTTATATGTTATATGTAGCATCTGGCTTAACACTATTTATGTGATATGTCTTTTATGCTAATCTTAATGCCACTGCACTAACAAACAACAATCTTTCCACTTCTACTGTGCTATTTCACCTCAAGTTACCCATCTTTTTACCACATAACTCATATCTATATATGCCATATTTTATTGGATACAATTACAGGCTAAAAAAATGTAATCAAAACCTGTAGCTACCTATTTTATATAATGTGACCAAAAAGTGGAATAAATCTTCTTTTTAAAACTGATAATCTTAAAAAAAAAATCACCAGAATAAAACTATAAGAGAGAGGAGACATATGCTGCCACAATGAAGTAAGAGCTGTAGTTGAAAACGAGCCTTTGGCTGGATGCTGAGCCTCTGTTATCTGTTGCTTATATGGTGTTTTGAAACAGGCCATCACACATTAGCTGTGGTGCCGCTGACATTTCTTTATCTGTCTGCTTTGACTGAGGGCCATAAAACCCACACACATGTAATCTGAATTTTCTAGGATGGTAGGAGCTCAGTTTGAAATATCTTGTGTTTAAGAAGCAACAGAAACAGAGCTGACATACAAAACAAGCACATGTAAGCATTTATAGAATAGTTGGTGATAAGATTTTGAAAAGATAAAATCCCAGAAAAAGAACTGAAAACACAAGATTGTAATTTGCTGTTAGTCTCATATTGTCTGAGAGCTTTTAAAGGCTGTGTCATGCCCTTTTAATCACATTTTTTCCCTCCTCAGTTACAGTAAACTCACCAATCTGCATGACCCGCCCAAACACTGAAGTGTTGTCCACTGTGCTGCAGTTCCATCTCCTCTGTCTGAACTGGTACTGACATTCCTTGATGCCTGTCTTGGCTCCATCTCCAATATAGGTCATGTGGTCTTGGTACAGCTGGCACAGCTTCCTCTGACCCTGCAGCAGCAGAGATAAGATTAGCAGACATTAGCTGGTTAACAGTTTTATATTTCAGTGGTACCTGCAGGGAAATTGCGCTTTTATTCGACCAGCTCCCCAGTTAGGTTGCAAAAGGGTACAGAAAAGGAAGTGACAAGAAGATCAAGGCTTATTCTTAAAAAAAAAAAATCATGCAGAAGAATCAGAGGTGCAAAACTGAGATATGCTTTTATTCTAACAAAATAAAAGCCTTGTTGACTTAGAGGAGAATCGTTTCCAAAGCACACAGATACTAACTTACCTGGGAGAGACCAGACAGCTGACTGCAGAGAGGCTGAGCTCCAATAATGTACATCTCTGGCCGCTGCATCGGGGTCAGACCGAGTGACCTGAGAGACAGAGGTCATTTCAACTAAAAAACCGTAGATGTTGAAATTTAAACAGAAATGCCTCAAACTGAGTTTATGGAATCTGTGACTCCTTTGTGAGTAGAGGTCAGCACAGCAGAGGGCAAAAATTCAGACACATGCTGGGTTTATTGGTACAAGTGGCCAATAAAATATAGATAAGAGTCTTCTGGTGAACATCTCTGCAGCCACTTCCTTTCCTTTCAAATCTGACTGCCTAACACAGAAAAATCATGTAATAATCTATTCAGATCACCTGGGCTATGAAAGTTTCCCTTTTAGTCTTGAACATGAGTGCAAACTACTGAGTATCTCAGGCTGTTTTAACGGCTAGACTTCTAAGATGGACATCTGGTCCTGTAATTTCATTCTGACCTCTAGGAGTATCATTCCACAGAGCCACCCTGAACTGGGCCACCGCAGTAAGTTTTTGTAAGTCAAGAACAAGTGTGGCTAATTTGCGATCCTGTAGGCACAGCAGCAGCCCGCCATGCAATGCCATTTGGGGCTCAGCCAGAGTAAATATTGTGACAGAGCCTTCACATTTGTTCCATTCACTGTTAGTGTCCCACCACTAGCGCACCACGCAAAACTAACCCCCAAAACACACACACAAGCACAGATGCAAGAAGCAGCACAAAGTGAAGCCATGGCTCAAAGAAATTCCATTCATTATGCTTCAGCATGACAGAAATCAACAAAAATTGGTCTATTGTGCGAATCTGATGTTTTTCTTATTTGCTCTCTTGACGGCACAAAATTTGGGGAGGGTCACTCACCCACGTTTTAGTCGCCGTTACTCTACTAACCATAACTTTCAGAAACCAGTGCAAACCAGTGCGCAATCATTTACTTACCACCACGAGTTCGCGTCCACCATCAGCAGTTGCGAGCTGCAGACAAGGAAGGCGGCAGCCAACAGCAGATGTCGGACGGCACCGGTTCGTTTTGTCCGGACAGGCCTGTTGTCCATGGTCCGCCGCTTCAACGCCGGGAAAGTGCTCTGCTGAGGAGACATGAGCAGTGAATGAGGAGTCGTCCTGCTCAGTCTTTTTAGAGGCCTGACGGGAGGCAAAGCGGCGGGTTTGAGTACGACGAAATCTGCTCCTACCGACCACTTGTTTCTGCCTGCTGTATCCTCTCGTCTCTAGTTTGATCAACTATATTTACAAAAAGCAATTTTTAAAAATCCAATAAAAAGACGGAGATTGTAATTTTCAGGTGACCTTACTGTCGTTGGGTAATCTGAAATCACATTAACGTTTTCCTAAAGGTCAAATAATCCAGTTTATTCGCTGAAATCCCAGGTCTAAGTCGTGCGTAAAATACTTTGGTATGAGTTTGGATTTTACGCACAGAGCGATATGAATTCTCCCTGGAGAAATCCAGGGCCTTATGATAAAATAAATAAAACAAAAGTACAAAAGTAAAAAGTGCGATCCCGTTTTTGCCTCAAGAAAAGATTAACAAGGATATTAAAAAACTAATTGAGCAGCAAAGCGACTGTTCCTTGCCCTTCCTGTCCCCTTACGGCCACTCTACTACTACCACCACTATCTCTTTCTCACGCACACACACACTCTCTCGTATACACTCCTCCTCCTTCTCTCACCCCCACTTCACCTCAGAACCCTCTTCTGCCCTCCCCTCCTCAGTCCTCTATACATTATGCACCGGTGATTGTGTGCAAGAAAATCAGATGACTATTTAACACTGTGAACTTTCAACGCCAAACCACTTCTAACACCTGTGAGGACTATGAGGTTGTTGTTCACTGGGATTTGACATGAGCAAAAACTTGTTAGATAGACAGAGATTATCTCTGGTGACCATTTTAAGCATCACCTCCGGAATAACACAGCTAATACCTTTTCTAATCCCTTTCCCCCTCTCTGATCAGCGTTTAATAAACGGTCCATCAAGTTGGGACATTTTACTAAGTTAAATTAAAAATGAAAAGTGTTTATTTATTTACGTTTATGTCTGGGTGAAATGTAATCAGGACAGTGTTTCAGTGTTTAAACTGTATATATAAAATATATTTTAGTAGAGGGATTACTCTGGGGCGTTTAAACGCAATAAGCGAACAAAGTTGAAAGACGTGATGGGGGTCGAACGTTTTGGAAAAACCTCAATCAACCCTACAAAAAAAGTTCACGTGGGTCAGATTCCTTTGACTAGCTGAAGTGAATAATTTGTTTGAATAAAAGGTGAGTGCTTCAAAATCGCCTAATCCTCTCTCTTTTGGTCAGCAAATATAAAAGGCGATGCTACCACGTCTTACACACAAACATTTCACATTTGTAGCTGGACACACACACGCGAGCGCGTTCAGGAGTAATGAAAAGTCTAGAAGTAAAGAGAAGGCGTGTTGAAGCGAGTTCTCCTCAATTCATAACCCGGTCAAAAGCAAACTACGATGGGTCGGTGGGCGGTGAACCTGCGGAGGAATAGGCTGTTTAATGTGGTTCAATGCCTCTCAAAAGAGCGCGTCCACAACCGGAGGGAAGAAAAAGGAAAAGACTGGAGTTCCTGAAGTCCAGAGAAACTACTCAGAACATTAATCAAGCAGGTATATACTGGGCTTCGTTAGAGCATTGACCACTTTTAAAACCACCATAAGGTTCACCAAGTTCAGAAACAACGACGGGATACGAGAATATTACGACACACTGCCCACAGGTTATAGTGGCTATAGGGGAGACCGGGGATAGTTGTAACGTGGGTCAGTTGTAACACTTCCAATTTCTAAGTTTCAAATGATGTGACTCATCCTGTGCATGCCCAATTCAGTTCTGCTATCACATGTGAAAAATCAGCACATTTTGTCAAACACAGACAATTTAACACGAAAAAAAGTAATTTGTATGCCAAAAAGTAAGTTTTTCTACTTTATTTCAATTTCTAATAGCATTATTTGCTTTGCAGTTAAACTCATCAAACTTAAATTATGTTATTTGTATGTCTATGGGGATATATTCTGTGTAGGTCTTTAGTGCTAATGTTTTAGCCGTTGGCTGTAATGCTAGCTAGTTCATGGCTATAGGAGTCTGGGTCAGTTGTAACAGCAACAGTCTGGGTTAGTTGTAGATGTTACAACTTACCACACTATTACTTTAACTTATATTAAACAAGTTGGGACATCAGCAGAGAGAGGTTCACTGGTCGCTTTTGTATATGTGGTTAATACCATTGGCAACACAATTCCTCCACTGTTTGTGTTCCCACACATACATTATGCAGACCTCTGTGTCAGAGATGGACCAGTAGGAAGTACTGGTAGTGGAAATAAGTCAGGATGGATGCAAGAAACAGATTTCCTCATCTTTCTGAAGCACTTTGCAAACCACACCTAGGTAAGCCATGATAAAAAGTAATGGAATTGCGATGCTGGTGAACAACTACATTTTTTCAGCTTCATTGTTATGTTCAAAATTGGTGCAAGAGTTGTAGGTTATAATGCCCACTGAGCCAATGAGGCCAAACTCAAGGAAGACCAACCAAAATTAATTAAATATTCAGTTGCAGAAAATTCCATAATTTGTCTTTTTTGGGGGGTTGGAATATGTTCAAAAGCTAGATTTCTGCATTCTGTCACACACACACACACACAGAGCTACATAAATGGATGTAAGTGCATTCATGTGTTGAATAAACAAAGATTACATGTTAATGTTTTGTTAGTACCCTTATTTCATTGTGTTACATTTTACCCCAGGATATGTTACAACTAACCCAGACTATGGGGTTAATTGTAACATTTCACTCTTCGTGTTTGAGACCATACCATGCAATGGGTAATTGTGCTGCAGAGAAAATAGCTGCACTATTTAATAGCCGAGACATGTAAATACTTTGCATTACATTTTGAATCCACTACCTTAAAAGAGCTCCAATTTACAGACAGAAATGTCAAAAATGTTACAACTATCCCCGGTCTCCCCTACGTAACGAAACTTTATAGTAGGATAATTTAACACACAAAATGATGGTGAAAATCCTTTGCTGCCTATATATACGTTAATTGTGTAAAATAAGACAAAAAATATCTAATTAACAACTTAAGGTGTATCCCGGGTGCGTAAAAACCTATGAGGATCAAAAATATCGAATTTCTCTTTTTAAACAATTCACTGAGAGAGGTTTAGTGAACGGGGATGTGTATTTCCCCGTTCACTAAACATGGAGTTTCTGTCGGTGTCAAAGTGGAGCGCACTAACAGAGAGTGAGGTGTATCTCGTCTCTGCATAATAATAGACCTGCAATAAACTTCCCCAACACGCACACGCATACGCACATTTTGTTTTTAAGTGATCTATGTGGCAGTCACATGTGACTGACATTCTGCAGTGTTTTATGTGAGCGGGTTAAAGTCTGACAGCGGAATAAACGGACTCTTCGAGCCCAACAAAACCAAAACTGCACAAAGTTGTAGATGAAAACTTCTTTATTTTGACTTTCGCCAGTGACATTTCACTCCGAGGTCTCTACAGGGAGTGCAGAATTATTAGGCAAATGAGTATTTTGTCCACTTCATCCTCTTCATGCATGTTGTCTTACTCCAAGCTGTATAGGCTCTACCAATTAAGCATATTAGGTGATGTGCATCTCTGTAATGAGAAGGGGTGTGGTCTAATGACATCAACAGCCTATATCAGGTGTGCATAATTATTAGGCAACGTCCTTTCCTTTGGCAAAATGGGTCAAAAGAAGGACTTGACAGGCTCAGAAAAGTCAAAAATAGTGAGATATCTTGCAGAGGGATGCAGCAGTCTCAAAATTGCAAAGCTTCTGAAGCGTGATCATCGAACAATCAAGCTTTTCATTCAAAATAGTCAACAGGGTCGCAGGAAGCGTGTGGAAAAACCAAGGCGCAAAATAACTGCCCATGAACTGAGAAAAGTCAAGCGTGCAGCTGCCAAGATGCCACTTGCCAGCAGTTTGGCCATATTTCAGAGCTGCAACATCACTGGAGTGCCCAAAAGCACAAGGTGTGCAATACTCAGAGACATGGCCAAGGTAAGAAAGGCTGAAAGACGACCACCACTGAACAAGACACACAAGCTGAAACGTCAAGACTGGGCCAAGAAATATCTCAAAGACTGGTTTTTCTAAGGTTTTATGGACTGATGAAATGAGAGTGAGTCTTGATGGGCCAGATGGATGGGCCCGTGGCTGGATTGGTAAAGGGCAGAGAGCTCCAGTCCGACTCAGACGCCAGCAAGGTGGAGGTGGAGTACTGGTTTGGGCTGGTATCATCAAAGATGAGCTTGTGGGGCCTTTTCGGGTTGAGGATGGAGTCAAGCTCAACTCCCAGTCCTACTGCCAGTTTCTGGAAGACACCTTCTTCAAGCAGTGGTACAGGAAGAAGTCTGCATCCTTCAAGAAAAACATGATTTTCATGCAGGACAATGCTCCATCACACGCATCCAAGTACTCCACAGCGTGGCTGGCAAGAAAGGGTATAAAAGAAGAAAAACTAATGACATGGCCACCTTGTTCACCTGATCTGAACCCCATTGAGAACCTGTGGTCCATCATCAAATGTGAGATTTACAAGGAGGGAAAACAGTACACCTCTCTGAACAGTGTCTGGGAGGCTGTGGTTGCTGCTGCACGCAATGTTGATGGTGAACAGATCAAAACACTGACAGAATCCATGGATGGCAGGCTTTTGAGTGTCCTTGCAAAGAAAGGTGGCTATATTGGTCGCTGATTTGTTTTTGTTTTTGAATGTCAGAAATGTATATTTGTGAATGTGGAGATGTTATATTGGTTTCACTGGTAAAAATAAATAATTGAAATGGGTATATATTTGTTTTTTGTTAAGTTGCCTAATAATTATGCACAGTAATAGTCACCTGCACACACAGATATCCCCCTAAAATAGCTAAAACTAAAAACTACTTCCAAAAACATTCAGCTTTGATATTAATGAGTTTTTTGGGTTCATTGAGAACATGGTTGTTGTTCAATAATAAAATTATTCCTCAAAAATAGAACTTG